TGTCAGAACTGTCTCCTGATCTTTCACGCTGACGTCCAGCCCGATTTTGAAGACGTGCGTAACAACTCGGTTATCTGCACTTCGCAGTTCAGCTCAATGCCACGCTTTCGTTTGGTACTGTTTTTCAACGATGCCCCGCCTAATTGGGCGTACAGTAGACCAAGAATCAATAATGGCATAAATCTGGCCAAAGCCGGCTACGTGCGCAATCGTCCGAATCAGAGGATCCGTTTGGGGAACTTCTTTCAATAATGCCACCTCTGCCACATCGAGCTAGTGCTTTCATTTCCCTACTGTTTCTTGGGAGTCATCGAACAATCCCATGCAAACTGCCCTTGTCACATCGGAAACGTTTCGCCCGGGCTTCCGTTTTCGTCTTGCGTAGCTGGATCATCTCCATCTCATTTCGTCGTTTATTCACCCTTTCGCCGGGCTGGGTCATCTCTCTGCGGTCCAGTCGGTCAAGCCGCTGGCTTACATCCGCCATCGCATTCATCAAATTGTCCAATACATCTTTGTACACGTTTTGAGCTCGTCTCGAGAAAATGACAACACGGGCTTTGTCATCAAGAACTCTGGTCTCGTAACTGGGGTCCAGTGATCTTGACGCTCCTCTAGCGCTTGCAGGATAGGGCAGCACGCCTGTGACTTGACTCCACATCCGCTGCTTGGTCAGCACTGGCCAACCTCAGCAATACATGTCGGATCCTTTCGTCCTCGGTCAGTGCTGTCGGGCTGTTTTCCAGCATCTCGAGCTCCTGTTGTCTCCGCGCTTCTATCCTCTGCCGTCTGCGTCACCCGTCTGCCAAAGATCTTTCCAGGGAAGTTTGACACTGGCAGGAAGATCCCACTTTTGTACCCTCGACGAAGTGCCAAGATTTCATTGTCCCGCTGATGCGTTGAATTGCCTGCCACTTATGAATTAGCAACGTTGCTCAAACGCTACATGACTACGCAGCTGGTGGCATCGGAACACGGAGACTTCTGCTGAGGACCTACTCGAAGACCACACAGGTACAAATCTGCAACTGAGTTGCTGGCCGTTCCAAAACGAGGTTCCACGCCGCGCCTTTGTCATCGTGGCCAAGGGAACGACAGTTAAAGATGGACCCCACAATTTAAATAGGAACTTCTATTCGCCAACAGTGAAAACATCGCCTTCTTGAGTAAACAGAAATGTATCAACTGAATGTACTTGAGCCCTCGTCAAGGAAACGTCAGATATCGAGAATTCTGATGCCGCTGTTGGTGGAAGCGTCATGCTGATCGGCTTTGCGAATTTCCGTCATGCTTCTATCAGTGTTATGGTGAAATCAAACATGGCAGACTGAGTCATTGAATGGAGAAGTGTCAACCGACGAGTGCTTCGATTGCAACAGATGAAGGCTTTGGCCTCGTAACAGTCAATGCCCCGAATTCAGAGGGACGATATGCTCCTTCCCAAATGAAGCAAAAGGTGCTCCGCATAAATGCCTGTCACGGAATCAATAATTTTGAGGAATAACTTCAAAGTCAGAAGGAACATGTCAGAGCAAACATTAAAAACTGGAAAGTTGTGACCAGAAAAGCTGCCCTGGTGATCGAAGCAGTAACGGATTAAAGTTGCTGGGTTTTGATGAAAATTATGGACTGTTTGTTAGCAGTACCTTCGTCCAGTGCACTAAAGTTGATGACCGATTTTACAGCTGTGTCGTCTGACTTTCTGTAATGGACAACCCTCTGTACTGGACATTCATGTTAAGAAAGGCCCCGTTGTCGTAGCTGGCTTTGTTGTTTTATCATCGTTATCAAACTTTAGCAGATCTTGAACAGTTGAGTAACATATGTTTATGATGTGTGGTAGAACCTTTAAAAATGGTACCTTAAATTGGCGAGGAAAAGACAGAAAAAAAGAAAGAGGAGAGCTGAATTGTCAGCTGATTACGCCCCCCTCCTCTGTCAGTGACATCTTGCGCTGCAAAACATGGATTGTATGCAAAGATCTCGTCCCAGAAGGAATCATTGAGTCAAATGGGAAACAGTATCCTCTGCGGATACCTTGGTGAAATTAGGAAATAACGTTGGACGACGATTAGGGCAGAATTCGGTGATAGCGGTTGATGTGGAAACCGAGAGGAAGCCGTTTGCATTAAGCTGCTGCAGAATGCTTCAGCTGAAAACGCCTTGAACTATCAGCTCCTTGAAGAAGCAGCTCAGAGGCAGAGGCCGTTCAATTCGAATGCAGTACAAAGGACCGCTCAAGTAGCTGCTAAAACATTGGCTAAAGTGCAAGCTGATCAATGGGAAAATTTCAATGAGTCGATGGAGTCCAATTTTTGGAATAGAAAAAAATTATTTCTGAGGTGCATCTGAGATTGAAGGAAGGGCAGTTGAAGACAAACAGAGGACAAGTTTGGACGCGTTCATGTTAATGAAGAGAATATGCTTCGGCGATGCAATGAGCATGCAGAGGAATTTTTAATCCTGACCGAGCGGATAGACTGTCCTGAGGAGCACCAAGGGAAAGATATTAATCATTTGACGTCATAGAAGCTGCAGAAAGCTTGAAAAGCAGCAGGGCTGCTGGAAACAATGACATCCGCGCTTAGACGCTTGTTGTGCCAACAGGTGTGTATGGCACTGCAATGACTACTGGAAAGACGTCAGCAGACTGGAGAAGATGGCGTTGTTGGTTGCCAGTACCTCTGTTCAAGCAGGGAAGTCCTAGGGAGTGCTTCAGTTATCGGACATTGGGGCAATACTTACTGAATATCCGGAGAAACGACTAGGAAAAGGTTTTGGAAATGAGGTCCCGCGGAATTACCGGCTCAGCGGTTCAAAAGGAACAACGCGTCTTTCGTTTACGTGGAAGCAAATCTAATGAGGTAGATAATGGATCTTCGTCCTATGAGTGTCACAGATAATTGTGGGAATTAGCTCATCCAGTTTATATGTTCTTCGCAGACTTACATAAGGTTTACGACTGGGTTCCGCTCAACATGTAATGGACGTCTGAATATACACCAGATCAATGGCCCGTTGTCTTAGCTCATCCAGCTGATGGAAAGTGCTGCGTAAAAGTAAGAGGCAGTAGAAAGAAACCTTTCGACGGTTACATACGGCCCTTTACAAAGAGCGAGTACCTGCGTTCTGTAGTGATTGTGTAAAACACGGATAATTCATGTCTTGCTTACGATCTTCATTTGTTGGCATCTTCCGAAACTGATTTCTAGCACCCTCTCGAAAAGTTAGCAGCCAAGTTCAACTTGGCCAGCATGCATGTAAACGAATGGCCTAATGGTACTTTCTCGCTTACTCTACCGAAGATAAATGGAGAACAGTGGAACAGCGGAAAAGTTCAAGTACCTCAGGGTGGCGTTTACTGGTGAGGGGAAATGGGAGTTAAAGATCGAATGGCGAGTGGCAGTGGTCAACATGGCTGTTTACAATTATCCTGAACCTCTGTGACTGAGGTTGAAGGTTAAGTTGTCTGTACTCAAATCAATTTTCATTCATATGCTAACCTATGGTAATAAGTCGTTGGCCATTACTTATCAAGTGCAATCAAGGTACAAACCGTTGAAATAAGCTATCTGAGACGAATCGACATGCTAACTCATCCAAACAGAGTCTTGAGTTAAGAGATCAGAGATAATCGTGGTGCAAACCACTTCTTCTTCAGTTTGAGAAGTCACTGTTGCGATGGTCTGAGCAGGCCTTTGGAAAGTAAGGTGGAACAACTACTGTTTGCTCGACTGACCGGCCTCAAAGCCCCCAGAAGGCCAAGAATTACATCGGCAAGTGCTGCTGACCGCAAACTGATTCTGCACCAGCCTCAGGTAATCTTTTGCGAATGTTCATGCATCAGGTGGTTGGATACACATTGCCTGGCGATGCCCCCGCGACTCCAAATGAAGAACGGTCATCGTCACTCATCAATCATTCGACTAACTCACCCAATCCTTTCATAGGGATTAACATCTACAATGACCTTCACGGAACTGCCACAAAAGACATGACGAGGTCTCTGTTAGCGTTGATTACAGCTGGTCCATTACCTGTTCAATGATGCCATTTCCCAATAATCACGGAGAATATGCTAACGGTTTTTTATGGAGACAGTAGTCTACGTTAATTCAGACGTATAATTGCGTTCACGCGAAATTCTTCCTCTTAACTGTTCAGCAGTCTGTCCCTCAGAGATCGCAGTGAGTCACAGGTGAATGAGTCATACTTTTGAAGAGAACTTTTTCTTGCGTTGGATTATAATCTGTTTAATCATAAGTAACATTGGAATATTTTAAATACTAAATCCCCGTTGGGACATGACTGTATAAGCAGTCAACGTATAACAGTCATTTTCAACTCTACAGCCCAAATGTTTCCTCGCTGAGACAGAAATGTTGTGCAAATCAGTTTCCATGTACTCCAAGGACACGACGGCATTAACCACAACACTTGCACTCGTTTTCGGTTTACTCGATTGTTTTGCAAACTTCAGAGAGTCCATGCAGTTTATGATTTCATTTATCGCCTTCCATTTCTAAAAACGTCAACAGGCAGGCGAGCAAGCCCATCGAAAAAACACAAAGTTCAAATAAAAACAATTCCTGCTACAAAATAATTACGTTTCAAAAAGCGGCCGGCTTAAGTCAAAGGCTGGGATTAGCTCTAATTAGCCCAGTAAATATTGCTTCTTTAATAAACTGCTGATTTAGCATACAGAAAGAAACCAAGGGGAATTTCGAGATGCAGAGTGTTGTCTGTTAAATTATGGTGATAAAATCAGTTAGTGAACAAGTGCACGAAAAGAATGTAAACAAATTGGTAAGCAAATTTTAGTAAAAAGAAAAAAAAGTTCAAGGCCTGCAATTTTTTGTCATTGACGGGGCTTTTGAAATCCCAAATGGCGCACTTTACTAATGTATAACGATAATTTTAACTTCAGAGTATTATATCTTTCGTAATTAATTTTGAAGTACTGTTTCGAGTTCTGAGAGTTCCGCCACTCTAAAAACTTTCAAAGTCTTTGGCTGCTGGATTTAAAAAAATTTTTTTTAATATGCTGTCAATGTCGTTTTGCAGTGAAGCAAGCGAAACGAATTAACATGTCAGTGCGCATGGGAAGTAAATAAGTAAGGAAAGGTACGTGCAGGAAGCGGCGGCTTATGTTACTGAAAGGAAAAGTTGCCATCATGCATCACTGTCCAAGTTCGTGCTGCATAATCGATCCCATGGTCTTGATTATACGGTCACTATATTATATTATATACGGTCATTATTTTTACATTTAAATTGGTCATGATTAGCGGCATCTGAACACGCCGGTAAACACGTGACAGCGACTCATATGCAAAGCGGACGGATGATCCGGAAGATGCTTGGTTTATTACACAGGAAAACATAGCACAATGTTTTGCAGCTACCTGCCGGTAAAGACTCGAAAATGTGGCTTTGTTTGCTGCCCAAATATTCGCATTCAATACATCGTCCATCTAACTTCTTAAACACTGCTTAAACCGAAGAATTCTTCATCTCCTCCTCCTCCTCTTCATCATCTGTTTATGATTCACCTGTTTCGACGAAGGCTGTCTAAGATCTGACCATAATTCTTTCCTTTGTGCGGTCTTCATCCTCGTTGTTCAAATAATTTCTTTATTTCATCCAGCTCTCGACACTGAG